ATGCCCTGTGTTATTTACTCGAAGAGACACGTTATGACCATGAATTAGATCATGCCGACGGACATGGATACTGGAAAAGATAAGTGGAGACCAATGTTATATATGTAGAAAATCAAGGATTCATCATTTGCGTGCAGGTCATTAAATTATTATTATTAATTATAGTACTTACGTGGTCATGTACCAAAGGTAATCACTCTTATCGTCGGTCATGTCTTTCTGATCAACAATCTTATGGGTAGAGATCTTTCCCAGGCCCAAATCTACGGTATCATGGAGGTACTCTGGCCTCCAGGACCATTTCAGAGGGGCGGGCTGGGCTTGGGCTTGGGCTTGCTTGGGCTTCTTAACCATGATGGCTGTTTGGGTGGTGAGCTTGGCGGTGTTGTAGGCCTCGTGGGCACAGTCGGGGAGGATGGAGACCGACCACGCAGGAATCACTACAAAAAAACATGGCTATGGCAAGGGTTTTTTTTACCTGTAGCAAGGGTTATAGCAACCCCTGGACGAATCCTCATCAATGCTGCCCCTGCTACACGTAGCAACGGTTTTTAGCAACCCACGGTGGAAGTTCCCTCCAAGGGTTGTAGCAGGGGTTTTAACTCCTGCATATCAAGGGTTACAACCCTTACTACACTGAACTGTAAAATCCAATAGAGATATGTCTGTATCATGGGTTTGAACCCTTGAAAAATTTGTTGCTAAAACTAGCAAGGGTTCAAACCCTTGCTTAATTCGTGACTAACTAATTTTGCAACGAGCTTATTATGGTCACTAAAAAGAGGCCTGTAAGAATTCAAAATTGTTGCTAACACTAGCAAGGGTTAAAACCCTTGCTTTATTAGTGACTAATTGATTTGAAACCAACTCAGTATGGTCACTAAGAAGACCCTAACACAGGATTCTATAAGTTGGTTCATATATACTTGATATTAAGCGTCAATCTATCACCCCTGCATGAATATAAAAGACAAAAGGCTGTGTTATGAAGAATAAAACGAAACCAGAAGACTATGACAATTACTCTTCCCTAGATAACAACTTCAACATTTCAAACTCAATACCGCTAGGAAGAATTTGAGACCACTATCAATTGATGACTCCAATTCATTAGTCACACAAAGTATCAGCACTCTCATACCTTTCCAACAACAACAATACAAATTTAGAAACGAATTAAGGAGAATTGCTCCATTTTCCCCTAACACCACTAGATCCGTAGCAAGTAATTAGGAACGAGCCAAAAGCATAACAACAATTGAACCAAGAACTAGATAAAGTAAAGCGAATCTAAAAGGGAAAACATCAAAAGAAAGAGAAAAGAACTTGGAATTCAAATTCAAGCTGCTGAATCTAACATCCGTCTTGCCAACTTCATAGATCCTATTTCCTAGCGATGGAGACAAAGTAGCAAACGAAGCAACCAACACTTATCAATCATCATAGAGAGAGCTCATGCGGGCTCGAGATAGAGAGCGAGAGACAGAGACGGAGAGTGCGAGAGAGTGAGAAAGAACCGTATCATAGAGTCGAAGAATCAGAGAATTTCCACCGGGCGGTGGGAGAATTGCCACTGATTCCACGGGAGTGAGCGAGCGTCACCGGATCTCGAGAGAGAGAGGTCGGAGAATCGCCACTGATTCCATGGGAGTGAGCGAGAGACAGAGAGAGAGAGAGAGAAATTTTTGTTTGCATTTGGCTGACGAGCTGAAAATTGGGGCTTTTGCTCGATAGAGAGGTGACGAGTAGTTTGTTGTCGCGGTGGAGAGTTTCCCGATTTGTGGAGATATTAGTTAAATTAGTAGCAGGGGTTTATGAACCCCTGAAACAAACCCTTGAGAGTAAGTTTCGAAAAAACTAGCAGGGGTTTAATGCACCCTTGGTACACAACCCTCGACAAAACTCTCTTTTTTTGTAGTGAATACTAGGGGTGGGAAATTTTAACCGCAAAACACCCAAATTAGCCAACCGCGACCGAGTCCCTCACGGTTAGCGGTTAACCAAACACCGCAGAATGCGGTTAGCGGTGAACCGCGATTTATGGTTGTAAAAACCGCAACAACCGAAACAGTATACGAAACCGCGGTTAAGCAATCTAACCGACAATTAACCGCGAACTAACCGCAAAAATTCATGGAAAAAAAACACAGCATCTACTGTTTTGTCTGCATATCCAAATAACACAATCCACAAATGCACACGCCGGACGGCCAGGGACGGCGGTGGGCGAATGGCAGCGGCGCAGCGCCGCAGCGGGAAGATGGGAAGGGTCGAAGCTCAACTCCAAGGGTTTTCAGTTGCTGGTGGGAAGGGACGAAACGAAGGGTCGAAGGGGATTTTCGATTTTTGTTTCGTCAAATCAAAACGACGACAGGGAGAAGTGGGGGACGGGCCGGGTCGGTTTGGGTTGCTGCCTGCTGGGCTGGGGGTCAACTTTGGGCTGGGCTGGGGGTCAATTATGGGATGGGTATGGGTCACGGTTAGCCTTGCGGTTATATGGATTTGCGGTTTTGGTTGCGGTTAAACCGCAAACCGCAAAACAGCCCATATCTCCAACCCCGACCGCAAAATAGGCAAAATATGCGGTTTGCAGTTAACCAATAACCGCGCAGTTTCGGTGCGGTTATCGGTTTAACCGCGAAACCGCAACCGTTTTCCCAGCCCTAGTGAATACGGTATTCATTCCCTTGAAATGTTACTTTGGCATTCTGGGTGTGGTTCTTGTTGCTAATTAAGCAGCTCGAAGCTTCCTTCGTCGTGTATTTGGTCAACTGCAACAAGTATCACATTGGATTTGGAGCACTATTTAAATGCTGAATCGCTATTTGCCGCCCGTCGTATTACTATTTGCCGCCCATAGTTAGGAAAGAAAAGACTAATTTACCCCTGCCCCCTAACCCTATCTATCCACCTCCTCCCCCCTCCCACCCACCCCCACCCCCACCCCTCCTGCTCCTGCCGACCACCCTCTCACCTCTCCTCTGCTCACCGACGCCGGCGACCACCTCCTCCTCTGCTCCCCGACGCCGGCAACCACCCTCCAAGTCCTCTGCTCACCGACACCGCCGGACCTCCTCCTCCTCTGCTCCCCGACGCCGGCGACCACCCTCCCAGTCCTCTGCTGGCCGACGCCGCCGGACCTCCTCCTCCTCTGCTCGACGCCACCGCCCAGGAGAAGAAGCTCGCCGCCCAGGAGAAGCCGCGGCGCCGCTGCTCAAGTCGTCGGCGAGGAGGTAATTTTTTTTTTTTTAATACAGTAAGCTCGCGGTCCGCCTGGCCGGAGCGGACGCGGTCCGCCCGATCTGGTCGGACCCATCTGATTGGGTTTCGGGTTCGATTTAAATTAATATTTATTACATTTATTTTAAATACAATTGTTAGTATCTTAATTAGTTTAATATTGATAGTTGAATAATTAGTATATAATTGGTAATTATATAATGTGTTAGTTTATTAATTGGGTAAGTTGAAATAATTATTTAATTAACTATATATCGTAAAGTAACTATCTAGTTAAATTAATTAGATAATCAAGTTGTATATATCATAATTAGTAATTCATAAATTATGAATATGAACAAATTGCTAATCAAATAATTTATTATAAGAGATTAATAGATAATTATTGACTATGCTAATAGATCCTTTATTATAATAAATATCTAAAGAATTATTGGATTAAATAAATTGTAAATAATTGTTAATAATTAAATAATTATCTATGATGTTTTAGTTAAGTAATGATTAAGTTGAAATAAATATTTAAATAACTATCTATCGTATTAAGTAAAATAACTATCTAGTTAAATTAAGTAGATAACATCAAACGAAATATTAAGTAGATAACAAATTGTATGTATCATAATTACTCTATGAAACAACAAGTAATTGCTCAACAAATAATTTCCAATAAGATATTAATAGAAAATTATTGTCTATGTTTAGAGATGGCGTCGTCTGGTAATTCTAGAGGATCACGTAGTTCCGGAGGACCAGGAAAGAGATTGAAAAGATTCCTTGGACGTAACATTAGCGCTAGTGCGAGAAATAAGGACCCAAATGATAGAGATGAGCCACAGCCACAGCCACAGGTGACACCGATGAGATATAGGGCAGACGGTTTCCCTCAGTTTGATTTTCAGTTGCCTAGTATGGGTGGTAGTGGAGCTGGTCCCAGTATTGATCATCATACTTCACAGTTTGAGCCTTCAGACGAGATTGACGACGAGTCGGAGGAGTATGAGTCGGATGCTGTTGAGTATCGTATTCCACGAGTCAATCCGATCAGAGACAAAGGTGCCCCCAGCGTTGCGTCACCTGTTGTTACTGGGGTTCATGCTGTTACTGGGATCTATAGAGACCATGCGGGGCGTTTCTATAGAGCTCCACAGCCTGGTGAGGGCCAGAGTTCTACTGCTGATGTAGGAGAGGCCTGGGAGCCTAGAGGACCGTGTCCTGGAGGGCCGAGCGACCCGAGTTTGCTCCGTAGCTTTCTTGGGTATGTTGCCCACCGTCTGTACACGGGAGAGGCTGATAGAGGGGTGATCACTTGCTACGACAGGAGTGCGACCCTTTGTCACGTTCTCGGCGGTTATAATATAGCAGATGATAACGCTAGGACTACCGTAGAGACATCGGGCCTTGCTCACCTCGTTGATATCACCTTCCAGAGCGAGTTGGACCCTGCTCTCATCTCGGCATTTGTGGAGAGGTGGCAGCCGGATACTAACACCTTCCACATGCCGTTTGGAGAGATGACGATCCTCCTTCACGACGTGGCACACATTCTTGGGCTTGCGGTTGACGGAGAGGCGATGGTAGTGGATCCGAGGCAGTTGGAGAAGTTTGCACTGGAGGCTGACATCCGAGCACTACTGGGATTAGATCGTGACGAGGATGAGTACGGGGCGCAGGTTGGCGAGGTTGCTAGTCTGTCTAGGTGGTAAAGAGGATTTGGTTTGTTGGGTGTGGGAGCTTTGACTCATTTGCAGCAGTCTGGTCCGCCAGCTAGAGAGGCTCAGTGTTACCTTCTTTTGCTGCTTGGGTCCACACTGTTCGTAGATAATAGTAAGGACCGCGTTTCTGCTGTTGTGAACTTGTTTGTGAAGAGGCCGGATATGCTAGGAGAGTATGCGTGGGGGGCAGGAGCACTTGCTTATCTGTACAGGCAGCTTGGTATTGCCTCCCGAGCGGAGGCTAAGGGAGTGGCGGGTTGTCTGACTTTACTACAGTGTTGGATTTAAGACCACTTTCCTACTTTGAGGCCTAGTCGGTTGGAGCCACGAGAGCTGGAGCGGGGGCAGGCAGGAGCATTCAGGTGGCGCGGTACAGCACCCCGGTCGAGTAAGAGGAGGGATGCACAGATGTTGGCTTATTATCGGCAGGCGATTGATAGTTTGACCCCTCAGTCAGTTAGTTGGACTCCGTATGGTCATAGTCCTCATCTGACGGTGAGACGTACCTTGTATCAGGGCCTGCTCAGATTTGCAGAGATAGCAGAATATTATGATCCCACTAGGTGCCTCCGACAGTTAGGCTACGTGCAGGTGTACCGTATCCACCGGAGCGTCCGCTTGTTGTGCGTCGACCTGCTTCCACGCTTGGATACTCTCTTAGCTACCAGTCTGTCTATGATTCGTATTGGAACAACTTGGGGGCGCATAGTGTGCATCTGGACCTTTTTTCTACTCCGATACGACGTAGGCCATGGGAGTTTGCTGAGAATTACATGTCGTGATACATTAGGCACTCGCACCCACATATACTGAGTGACAGCCGACCTGTTGATGAGATCTCGGATGCTGATACGGTTAGTACAATTATATTTTAAATTATTTGTATTAAGTTAAAAAAAATTGATTGTAACTAATATGTATTTAAATTGTATGGTTTTTTATTACAGTTGTCACGCGAGATGTGGATTGAGATATCTCCCGTGATGGATGCTGCACAGGGTAGTAGGGAGGAGTGGATGGCTAGCGCCAACGAGTACTACGACTTATGTCATGGAGTTAGGAACATGTGGCCCGAGTTTAGGAGGAAGTCGGGTTTTCTACCACCTCCACATTAGTTGTATGATTATTATGTCATATGTATGAGTGTTATTTGTTGTTTTTAGACGAGTTGACTTATGTGTTCTACTACGACTTATGTTATGTGGTGTTTAGTTGCTTATTTGTTGTTTTGGGACTATGACTTATGTTATTTGTGTAATCTGATTATGACTTATGTGGTTTATGTTGTACTTTGGATGTTTTTATTATATAATGCTTCCATGTGACGTAAACAAACTTCTTTACAATTTATTTAAATTGAAGACGTTCATTACAATTTATTTAAATTGAAGACGTTCATTACAATTTATTTAAATTGAAGACGAGTACAAGTTTATTTCTTTGGACCCCTCTTTTTGCGTGATGGAAAGTTACTCGCCGCACCCCCAAGATCGAACCACATTTGACTAAACGGCGTGAAATATGTCTCCCATCCATCCACGCTTTCTTGGTGACCGCCTGGCCACATGGCATGTGGAGGGGGCATCGGTATCTTGTTCGCCGGGAAAGAGAGGTTGATCCAATGATTCTGGACGAAATGCACAACAATGACTCCTCTAGGGTGGGCTTCCCCATGTATGTTGTCCACTGGCAGAATGGTGCATGGGTACGATTGTGGAGTTGGGTAGAGGTAAGTGCTGTACATGACAACCGCCAAATTAAATAGTGTGGCAAATACGAATAGATCCACACCCATCATCCAATGATGTTGAGTCGTTGGTGCTGTAGTAGTGATGTCAATGCGTCTGATTGCATCATTGATGCCGGGACCGTAGATGGGTGTGTATCGCCAATCGTGCTCACGCATTTCTTCAGCAAGTCGTGCCCTGACCCCTGTGAACCCTTCTTGACTACCATATAGTGCAAAACTAAGTGCACGAAACCCACAATGACCGTCTGGCACCGGGTCGTGGATGGCAATGACAAGCGGCCGAATGAAGACAGGAAGGTGTTCCATGTGTGCGTAATCAGAATGGGGGCTGCTGGGTCCAGGGATATCTGTGAAGGAAATAGGTAATCAGCACGAATGCAATGTAAAATATTAATATAAATAATTACACTTATGAAAAAATTAAATTGTACCTGTGTCAGGACAGTTGTATCTGTTGTTATCTTCTGGATCATCACACTCCTCCGCTGCATGGTCGTCTGACGGGTACTCGTCTGTCTGAGTCCCCGTGGAATTGGTACTGGTCGACTTTGTAGACCCCGACGTTGTGCTTCCCGACTTCTTTTTCATGCTTTTCTTATTGCCTCGCAGTATCTTTTCCCACCACCGTTTCGTTCTTCCAGTTGATTTTTTGGCTGGGCGCCCCTTTCTAAATTCGTTCACTTCTGGCTCGTGAATGTTGTCCTCCGCCGGGTGGAGACCGCGAAACACGTTCTTTGCTGCTTTTTTCGTTGCCTCTGGTCCTCTGCGTACAGCCTCATCAACCAACTCCCGAAGGTGAGATCTAGCCTCCTCCTCCTGGGGAACGTACTCCTGAGCATTGGGTGGATGCTCGTATGACAGTGTCCGCCAATATATATGAATATCACCGGGATATATCTCTATGTCTCGCGCTCTGCCATCCATAACTTGACATCCACACCTCAAGCCGTGTGTCACAGAGAAATGACATGCACATCGGGAGTTCTCATTTTTTTCCAAGCGGGCAGCCAATTCTTCTTCAGCCTCCTTCATTAATATAATTGCCTGCATGCTGACCTTCCTTCTCAAGAATGTGAATGGTGTACCACCGGATGCTGAAAGGGTTTTCTGTCTAGAGTTTTCCAACATCATCCTAACCTCCCCGAGTTGGTTAGTAATGTAGCGGTGGTTTCCTTTCCATATAGTGTCCATAGATCCCCGCGAGTTGTGGAGGAAAGTCTTCAAAGCGGAATGTGACGACTCAACCCTGTTTGTGCTCGTATTTCCTAGATGAAACACATTTTTTGTATGACAAACAACCCACGTTTCTCGATGTTGCCACCACACTCCCTGTATGTATTGCAACAGACGTGGTTCTTGATTGCCCCATCTTGTCCTAAGGCGGCCAAACGCGGCCAACATACCTTGCTCTGACCAAGAATAAAGCATAGGACACCAATATTGATCGTACGCCTCGTTGACCAAATCCATCCTGTCCTTCCCAAATATTTCCAAACACTTCTTCTGCACATTGGTGTTGATGTGCCAAACACATAGCAAATGCGGGGTGCGGGGGAAGACCACAGGAACCGTAGCAAGTAGTCCACCTTCGTGGTCGGTGACGATGACAGTGGGCACGCGTGGATGGAGCAATTGTTGTATGCACTGCAACAGCCACAGATACGACTCTTTTGTCTCATCCTTCATGAGAGCACAACAGATGTTGAAATTCTTCCCAACTGGAGTAGCACCTACGACCTCCACCCACGGCCATTTATATGCATTGGTCTTATACGTTGAGTCGATCAGAATCACGTACGACCAAGCCTTCAACATCTGGATGGAAGTTGGATGGGCAAAAAAAAGATGTGTCAGCACGTCGTTATCGTCCTTCATAACCTCCGTATGATAATTCTCACGTTCAGCTTCTAGCAACGCATACTGCACTGCATTCATCTCGCCCATCTCGTCTTTCCTAGACTTGGACCCGAGGTTATACATCTGCCTTTGGGTGTGATGCCCTTTGTCACCCTTCTGCTTGTTTATTGTCTGCTTCTGTTGCGACGGAGGTACCCCAGCATCTCTCATCTGCCTAAGAGATTCTTTATCCTCCTGACTCAATTTATTCATTTGACTGTGGCCCTCGGGATAAAGCATCTTCTCATAACTGTGATACCCTCGCCTTAAACCGGTTCCTTGCTCCGCGACTCCTTGTATCTCCCAGAATGTAGGTCCATCAATAGCATCTGGATTAACCAGTAGTTCTTTGATTTTAATCTTGAACATGCATCCCGCTCCTTTTGAACTTGTATTGCCAGGACTCTCTTGGGAAGGATCCAGCTTGTATGACTTCCTCTCCCTACTGCATCTGTCGCAATACATATAACAGATACCCAATACTCTTTTGTTGCCCAACTCACGTGGCTTCATCGATCCCTTAGTTAGAAAGAAACCAAGAGACATCGCGATGTTTTTGGTCACTGTTACAGCATCTTCGAAATTGGCATATCGGACGCCATTGAGAAAATGGTCTGTGTAATCACCAATTAGTTCAACATTGTCAGCCATGTCCACCTGCAATTATGATTTTACAACTCGTTAGAAATGTACAAATTATATGATTCTACAAAATTAAACTAAATGCAATAATTTAATTAAGTCTAAAAAATACAGATAATTTAAATATAAATTATTAAACCAAATTAGCTCTACGAATTAAATCTAAACACAATAAACTAAGTTGCGCTACAACAAAACACAATCACTTAATTAAACTAATTGTGCTTCAATTGACTCTACAAAATTAAACTAAATGCAATAATTTAATTAACTCTAAAAAATAATGATAATTTGACGATAAGAAAATTATTTTAATATAAATTATTAAACATCTTTAGCTCTACGAATTATATCTAAACACAATAAACTAATTAGCGCTACAACAAAACACAATCGCTTAATTAAACTAATTGTGCTTCAATTGACTCTACAAAATTAAACTACATGCAATAATTTAATTAACTCTACAAAATAACGATAATTTGACAGTAAGAAACTAATTAGCGCTACAACAAAATACAATCGCTTAATTCAAACTACATAGGAATTTAACTATGTAAAATAGAAATAAAAGCAATAAATTAAATATAAATTATTAGCTCTAGAAATAAAATAGAAAAAAAATATGACACTGCTATGCACCCGGTCGTCGGACCCCATCCGCTCGCCGGCATCGGACGGCGACCGACGCCGGCGAGCGGACGGGGTCCGAAGCTGGCGAGCGGACGGGGTCCGACGACCGCGAGCGGACGCGGCCCGACGACGGCGAGCGGACGAGGTCCGCCTCCGGCGAGCGGACGGGGTCCGACGCCGGCGAGCGGACCGACAAAAAAATCCAGGATCAGTGAGAGGTTTACCTGATTCGCTGGTCCGACGACGGGGTACGGCTGCCGTCCAGTGCCCGGCGAATTATCCTGACGAGATTGGTCCGGTGGCCGGCGAGTTTGGCTGCCGTCCGGTGACCGTGAATCTGGATGTGGTGTTTGTGGGGGGTTGGTGGTCGGGACTCGGGTAGTGTGTATGGTGTTTAAAAAACCATTTCAGCGAATAGAATATAAAGAAAAATTTGGAGGGCAAAATTGTCTTTTAAGTGTTTTTTACGGGCGGCAAATAGTAATTACACGGGCGGCAAATAGTAGCCCTCTTTAAATGGCGCCGTGGGGGTGGATAAGGGAATATATACACACACATACGTGAAGAGAGTCGGTGTAGTTAGTGGTGGAGATATCGCCATGAGTGAGTGTGTTCCATGGCATGCAACACGTCATGAAGGCGCTTCAATGGCCATACTTTGGCTGGTTCGGATTTCCTGCAGTGTTACCGCATTCATGCATAGTAATGTACTAGCGTGGCCCCGTTAGCTAGAAGAAGGTGAGGTATGAAATTTGATAATGTAATGAGGTGTATAGCTTATTGTTGTATAGTTTTTTTGGGAAACACGTGATAAAATAGTGAATTTTAGCAGGAAATAGACATGAATAATGCAACGAATAAAAAATCGGCCTTATGAACCAAAATCAAGTAC